TTTTTAAACATTTTCTGTAGAGGCATGAGTGTCGGATACAGAAAAGGCGTGGGGCCTCGATATCTATTCTCTGAATGAGAACAAGAAGATTTCAAGCTGCTTACGCTGATTTGAACATTAAAAGAAACAAGAATAGCCTCAGCCTACTGGTGTTGTGTAGTATAGTGTTTTATATTTGTGTTTTAATTTCTACTTAAGTTTCAGTTAATTTTATCAAGAACACGTTGTCTAGCTGAACTTTATTTACCTTGGGTGCCATATGATGATGCCGATTGTTCATAAGTTGAGGCGCTTAATCCTCCAGCTCCTCCAAATCCGGCGGCTCCTCCAGCTCCTCCAAATTCTCCACTTAAACCAGCATATCCCGATTGGCCCCCGAATTCTGCACCTGATGCGGAAAATCCTCCTCGCGCGCCACCACTGGAAAATTCAGTCCCAAATGATGATGATGATTGGCTAAACGCACCACCTGCACCAACTCCGGGTGGGGACTGAAATAAAAAACCACAAGTGATGTCCATCTGTGGATCCACATTGGCTGTATAGTAGTTCCTCTTTGCGATTTGATTAAGAAACGTTTTATATGAAAGTTCATTATCTACAATAACTCCACAAACAGGCAGATCTGTTACTCTTTATCTTATATCATTTTATATGAAACAGTTCCGATCTGATTGAAAATTAGTTCAGAATCAAACAGCTAGCATTAAAACAATAAAGCAGAAGAATTGTATTGTATGTAGTTATGTTTAAGCGTTCACTGCGATGGACTTAGTAAACACTCTTTGTTCTATACACATAGCTGCGTCCAAAATATTTCTGTTTGTAAAACATTCATTTCTAATACAGTATTGCGGAAAAGTTCCTAGAATGTGCTGGTAGTTCGATCCTTATTAAAGATATACGCCTGCAGTTAACTACACATTAAACCTGTGCCACTGCTATTAGTTTCAGTAAAGTTTTACACGACGTTCCTGAACAAACTCGCAAAGAAACTACCTTATCTTCAGTGGAACAAAAGAATTTTTCGAGGTTGTGATTCAGGCTACAATATTTTGAATAGCCAGCTTTCGGTCGATGAAAATTCGAGTTATCCATCTGCATCGATCGCCGCATGTGGAGATATATGGATCAATGAACCTTACAGATGCGGAAAGATATCGGACAAAACGACACATTCATCTTCTGATTTTGTGTCCTACAACCAGTGTATCGACTGGTGCAGCTCAACAAGTTGGTGCTCAATCAGTCACAACTAGCTAAATGAGTAAATTTACTCATACTAACTCAAATATTTTAAAGATGCATCTATCGAATTCTCAGCGGAAAATAAAGTAATGAAGGATCATTTCTTCGAGCTTGGAGATCAGATTTTAACCTTGAAACCATGAAACTGTTTGTCGAATGATTAAAATTATTACTTACAATGTCTTCAACAACACCCGCTGCTCTTGCTTCTTGTAGTAATGTCTGAGCATCTTTAAGTTGTGCACCATAACGTTGAATATATGACTGGGGATTTTCCGGTGTCACACCAAGTCGTTGAAATTGTCGAACAACACGAGCTAGAGAAATGAATTAAACTTAACTGAAGTGCTAATAGAAGATTCGTGATTTACGAACCTTGGACATTTTCATAAATATAAATAATATTTCGTGGCGCCTTGTATTGTTGGGCTGCAGTAGCACGTTGAACAATTGTTTTTCGTTTTTCCATAGCACCATACGGAATCCATCGTTCAATGATAATATCACCTGGAAGTCAAATAGCAAAATCAAACGGTAAAAAACCGATTTATTATTGAGACAGATCAATTCCCAGCTATCTTTCAGCCAATCTTAAAGCGTTAGTTTTAGGCCCACACTTCAGTATAGAGTAAATCAGAATAATTGCAATTATGAAATTATTTCAGGAATATTATTAGAAATACTTACGGGGTTTTGGAGGTGGAGCAGGTAAGCGTTCGATGATGACTGAGCGTGGTGGCACAGGTAATGCAGGCAATTTTCGGATAACTAAAATCAAACTATTAGTGCTTATAAAACTTGATATGCCTATTCAAATGCGTTTGTAACCTGTTTGTGATCCAACCGAGGCTGGGATTTGCGGTGGTCTTTCGCGAAGAATGAGTGGTGGTGGCTGCAAATGAGAATGAAGCAATGTTTGTTTTCAGTAAATTTTAGTGTGTAATGAATAAGTGCTTACTTGGGGTGGGGCAGGAGCACGTTGACGAACAACGAGCGGTGGTGGCGCTGGTGGCTGTGGTGGTCTAACTTCCTTGATGATGAGTGGGCCCGGTGGAGGAATGGCAGGCTAAATGAATAAAATCGGTTTTATGATGAATCCAGTGTGATGAAAAAATTATCCAAGTTACCGGTTGAAGAAATCGAACCATTATGTTTTGTTTATATGTGATTGCTCCCCCTACAAAGCCAAAGATAAGCGATGATATCAAAAAAATTCTTTTAGAGATTAGTAAGAATGAAATAATGGTCAATGTACAGTATTTATCCTATTAGAACTGCAGAATCAGTTTCATTCGCTGTTAGATCATTTCAGATCTGACCACTAAGACAGCGTAAGCCATTTAAGTGAAATTGATTCCACATCAATTTTACATTTATTGTGAAATTGAACAATATTTCTTGAAGACTTGTATCGTTTTGTGTATCAAACGCGCTAATGAATAGCGTGATCATTTTGTGTCTATCTATGCATTTCGACAACAATTGTTTAGGAAAGGCACCAATACTGACGGTATCTGCTGAGAATATCCACGATGACAATTGTTGTCGAGATGAAAACGGACTACATTAGACGATAACAACATAAAATCATGAGCAGCAACAAACGTACCTGGTGCTTGTCGCTTGATTATTTGTGGATTTGGATCTTGAAATAAGCCTTTAGCATCAGTGGCATAGTGCTGAACAGAAGTGTTTTGTGAACTACTTTCAAACGATGTAGTTCCACCTGTTTGAGAATAATCGGTTTGACCAAATGTAGCACCTCCAATACCTCCAGCACCTCCAAAACTTTGACCAGTTGTATCAAGTCCTCCTATTCCAGTTGATGAAAAAGTTGAACTGTCAAAACTGGAAGATCCGATACCACCGCCAGATAAATCGCCTGAAATACCGTAACCGTTTCCACTACCTTGTCCATATCCTCCTTGTCCAAATGCAGCTTGTCCTCCAAATTGGCCGCTTACATCTCCCCCATAACCTGATGACGATTCGTACGAATTTGATTGGAATGAAGATGAGCCATAGCCACCAGCACCGCCAATCTCTCCACCATATCCATAACTTGATCCTCCGCCGCCAGAGCTTCCACCAAATTGAGCTCCGCCGCCAGCGCTTCCACCAAATTGAGCTCCGCCACCAGAGCTTCCACCAAATTGAGCTCCACCGGTAAGGTTTTGACTTACAAGATTGCGAAATTCATTTAAATCTAACCTGTTGTCTCTGTTGGTATCTGCTGATTGAAATACGGCATCGGCCATGATAGTGTTTTAGACTAGGAAGAATGATGAGCTGATCTAGACTTAAAGAAAATGAGAGTGACAAACAATTATGTGCGGTTTGTGGTATTTAAATCATGAAAATGTTATTTTTCGAATGTTTTTTTTGTCAAAACCATTCAACCAAACCAACCACATACAGTTAAATATCTTTTATATTCAGCCGCTCGCCAGAGATTTTTCGTCTTCCTTTTTTGAAGTGATTCGTGGTAATGATGTATCTATCTGCATGTGCGTAATTAAAAAAATATCATTGATTGGATTTTTTTTCATCACGATAAAACGTTGTAAAAGAGGATAGTTAACACAAGAAAAATATTCACTCAATTTACATATGCTGATCATAATAAAAAATTTAATTTGACAACTTTTTGCTGATATTTTCAGGTAGATAAATATTTATTACTTTCATGGTTCTAGGGAACAAATCATCAGTGTATCAGCAACATAGACCATCTCCCATAAAAGTTATATAACTGAGACTGCTTTATTCATGTTTCGTTCTGTTTGTTGGAGTTTTAGAAAAATAGCGCCAATCGAGGATAATCATCGTATAGTAAGAACTCACCCTTGAAACTAACACAATTTATGAAAATACTTCATGCGTTTAATGAAAAATACTTTTCCAATTTAGAACAAAACTTTTTTCGATTTCAAAACCACTGTCTCTGCTTCGGATGAACCGTAACCAGGGACGCCGCGAAGTACAAGAAGCAGATAGGTTTTTTCCGATTTGGGAGTAAATCGAAACATTTTGAAAATGAGAATAAATATCTGATTTGTCTAAAAATACGCAAATTTTAATTTCTAAAACGATGTGAGACATAACTCCTTTAAATTAAAAAGTAAAACGTATTACTTAAAAACAGAGAGAGAGATCCCCCTCTCTAATCCTACATTTTGCAAATTCCGGAAATACATTTTTGCATTGTAACAACATAGGAGATATTTACGTTCGCACTGTAAAGGAGAACGTTCACAAATACAATGATCACTTTCTAGCTTAATACCTGATTGTTGTAATAATCGTGAAAGATGTTTCTAGTGAACTTCTTGAATCAAGGTTCAGACCTCGTTGATTTTTTTAATAAAATCTTGACTCCGGATCTTTGTAAGAAAACATTAGAAATTACCGAAAAGTTCAAAGATCCTGGATCCCGAATGTCCAGAATCACCGTTTTGTTGACTCAGTTGCTTTTCAGGGACTAGATTGGGTGTATGAAAGCAGTAAAATTTATTGCGATATATCGTTTCGAAGCTCAAATAAGTCTTAATCGAACGTTACTAAAAGTAGCTTAAAACTTTTTACGCGGAAAGATGATTTTTAAGCGACTCGCCCATCTCTGGTTTACATTGGACCGGTCTAAAGAAATGTACACATAAAGCATACAAGTGACTCTGATGATTTTTATACCGTTTTTAAAGAAAAATTGATCGCAAATGAAAGTGATCAGAATAATACCTTAACACTGTAGGTTTATACAGGGTACTCGAAAGTCTGTAAAAAACCTTGTTTCTAAACTACTAAGTCCTCCTCTGCCAAATCCTGGTTGTTCTCTTTTTGACTCGGGATCGAAAATGCGATTTTTTCTGCTTTTTAGCTAAAAAAGCATAACTGAGCTTAAAAATGTATTGAAACATAGGTTTTCACATATACCCTATCAACTGGCATCCTTAAAAAAGGGATTTTGATAATTTTAAGTTTGATCCTCTAGAAATCTAGGCTGTTTAGAAATCTTTTATTGAGCTGATTTTCTAAAAACTGAGTCGGCTGTTCGATTCAGGGTGTCAAAATACGTGTGATCTTAAAGTTTGAGGCTTTATGTGCTAGCCGTTACGATTCTAAAGATACGTTTGGGGGTGAGACATTTTGATGTACTTTTGAATTTTCTCTCCTAGTAAGTAACCGATAGCCTTCAAAGCTTTAAATTTTCTGTTTTCTTTCGCAGAGTAGACGTGGTGTTTTCGTTCATTTTTTTTTACTGTAGAGACAATAAATGTGAATTATTTATAGAAATTCGACAGCCAATTTCCAAAAAATTGGAAATTCGAAGACCAATTTCCATAAATAATTCACATGAAAACTGAAAACTCAAGAAGGAATTTCTATAACTTCGAAATTTCCACTTTCTACAAACTAGAAAATGCTCGAGAAATCTAAATGCATAGATAGATTCGTGTTATTCGAAGATCAATTAGTTGATATTATGTGAAGAAACATTTCTTTACGCATATTTTCAGTTTTTCACTAGCTAAAAGACAAAACTGAAGTAGAATCAAAAACAATCTTGTATGGTGTTAATGGTCGCTTTAACTTCCTGTCTTAGATTTTTGTTCGACATACTTCGACATTCTTATTAGAAATTCGACAGCGAATTTCGAAGAAACTGGAAATTCGAGGAAGAATTTCTATAACTTGGAAATTTCGACTTTCTATAAACTAGAAAATGCTCGAGGAATTTATATACGGGTTCCTTGAAATTCGCCGAGCATTTTCTAAAAAATAACTTTCACCTTTACAGTGTACATGATTCTACATAACTTCAAGCAAAAAATTAAGCGATTGAATCCTTGCTGGCTGAACTGCAGAACCAAAACAAGTGGGATACGGCATTTTATTTTCCAACGACCACAAATTTCGTCGAAGTTTTGACAGCAACTAAAAAAATTCAGCAAAACTAAGACGATATCGAGAGATATCGTAGAAGATCGATAGAGTAGATAAAATACTACACAAAAACAAAAAAGATTTTGTAGGCGCCACTTTAAGAAAAGAAAAATGAACGTGCAGAAACCACTAAGAAAAGAAGGCAAAAACGCCCAAAACACAAAGTCTTTTGCTTTCTGTACACTACGGGGATAAGACAGAAAAGAAATCTTATCAGCATAGATAGAGTAAAGTGTCAGGAATAAAACGGCATAAGTTTCCAAAACTTTGATTTAGTAATCACGGAGAACCAGGCGGGTCTATAAACTCAGGTCGAACGGTACTAAAAGCACCAGAATTACTGATACCTTTTTAAATTAGGATTTTTATTTGTTTTTGCGTTTGCTGCTGGAAAACGAAAAAGATATTGATTTCAGGGGCAGACAGTTAGTTTTATTTACTATGCATCGTTATTTGGTCGATTATTATGCATTTCTATATAGTGATCACGTTATACACAGACTACACCTTTACGAGTTGGCTATTTTTTAACATTTTATATTGATTATGTTTCTGTCCAACGAAGACGCTTCGAAATGAAGAATTGTCGCCAGTCCTTTGAACTATTGACAGCATTGCGTTGTTTTAAAAGATTGT